TTTCTTTATTTTTTCGACCTTTATCTAAAAACTACAGTAAAACTTATACGTCAAATCGCACAATAAAACTTGAAACTACTGTTTGAACAATCTACACGTTTCTAGGGAAAGAAAATAATATTTTGACTAGACATGTCAGCTTTATATTTCCCATTGCGATCGTCTGTCTGGTCTTCGCGATAACATGGAGGGCTGATACCTAATATGAGATTTTATATCAAGTAATCAGAACAATAGACGTCAGTGAGTACACATATAGTAAGAAGGATCTAAGGGCGATCAAATTACTATTAAAAATGTTTTAGACATGTGATACGTGGCAAAATCGCTTCTACGAATCTTATGTATTATTAGGTATTGTGTTACAAAACTTGAGGCATATTCGCCAATGATTCGAATCATGCAATTTCTATAAATAATTCGAATTAATTTGGATGTTGAACCCTAGCAGGCATCAACTAATTAGGAAATATAATATTTTATACTGAGGTAGAAGAATTTAATTAATCATTTAGAAATCATTCTATTTGCTGACCTATAATGTAGGGACCTAAATTTTGAAAAAATAAAATCGTACGACCGGTTTTTGGTAGGAGCACCCCGCTATATTTATGTATTTTAGGATGGTCCTTAGTATGTATATATTTTCGAATTTTTTTGCTTCCAAGGGTTCAAATTCTCTGAAACTTTTAGATCTTAATATTGACTTTAAGATAGTCCGTACTCCGATCAAGTAAATTATTTTTCTTCTTCTGAAGTAAATTATTTTAAGAAATATATCAAATTTATGTTGTAAATTTATCCATGTTATTTCCATAAGAAACTTTGGTTGGAGTGCGGACCATCTTAAAGTTAATATTAAAAGCTGAAACTCACAGAGATTTTTTTTATCATTTTGGAAGCATTGAAAATATCCATATTAAGGACCACCCTAATATATATATATATATATATATATATATATATATGTGGTTTTTTAATATTAAAGACATAAATAACTAAAACATCATGTTAAAGAATTGTGCTTACCTTGATGTGATTTTTGGAGTCTTGAAGTTTTAAGTTAAATTTCCTGCATCCCTGAAACATAGAAAAACTATATAAATATAATAAATAATAAAATATTTAAACTTTCCTAAAGCTATCTAGAATGTTAACCTTTTTGCTACTTGCAAGAGTGACGCTGCTGTACGAGCCAGTAAACCTACCAAAATATTTTCAGATTTTCATTACCGATAAAAATGTATTTAAAAATTAAAAATTACACCACTAAAAAAATTAAAATTAAAGATACCAAATTCGAATTCACAAAAAATTCAATCAGAGTGATTAAGGATAAGCAAATTTCGTTATACTAGATGATAGCTGATATTCGTAAACACTAGCAGTCAAGCAGATGTCGTCTGTAGACGACGCTCGTAGCGAAAAGAAAACAATCAATTTGAGCCAACGTACAAAAATATGAGAATAACTACAAAAATCGAACCTCAACATGTTATAGGTACCATTGAGACCCATTAGTTATAAAAGTTACTAAATTGCAGTGCGACCTAAAATAGCGTCAAAATATAAAAAATACATTATGGTAATAATTTATCATAACACAACATTTTTAATAACCTTTCTATTTTAATCAAAAAGATTAGCAATCTGATATTCTAACATTCAGTCTTCTCTATCTGTCTATTACGAAATCGCATAGGTTCTTCTGATAAATTTATTTAGTAACTCGTGAAATCTTCCCTACAACTATGTCGCCTAAATTGGCAAACAAGGAATAAATCAATTCTACCGTAAGACAAATGTTCACAAATGAAAGTTCAATGTAGCGTCAACCGATTGTTCTTAGTCCAATTTATCAGTTGTTGGATAGAGTTCTCCTTCCCTTAACACATGTTTCAAACCCTTTTTTCCTCTCCGAGTTTACAACATGGTGTTCTCCTACTTTACGATCTTTGTAAGTGATTGCGTTAGTCACACTCTAGTTATTTGAAGATCGATTGGAAAAATTACAAAATCCATTTAATAGATAAATACACACGAACACACATACACGCATATATATACTTGTAGAATTTTGAATTTTATATTGAGATATGTTTTAATTATACAATGAGTCTAATGATAGGGTCACATAAAAAACATTAATTTCTTTAAAAAAAATTAAAATTCATACATTTTGGCTATTGTCCTTGCTTTCATTTTGTGAAACAAAACAATATTTTAAGACTAAATTATTCATCAATAAAATTTGAGAATTTAAAGTAAAAAAATATATAATATAGGGTTATACGATGTATGAGATAGTACAGTCAACCTGGCCTACTATTATTTTGCAGTATGTTAAAAATTTTTTTTTAATATTATATTGCTTGATATGCGTCGATATATTTTGAAGATCATCATGATTTTCAAGATGGTCATGATTTCGAGATTTTATTCCTAATAAAACTGAATACATCTTTCGATACTTCTTTCCACAAAACTAATTGAACATTTTTTATACAAAACTCACCTCAATTTCTAATCGCAATGATCAAATAAGGCACTAGTAGTCACTTATTAAAAAGAGTAGTAACACGTTTTGCTCGATCATTTTTAATGGTAATTTATGTACGAGTAGTAAGTATTGGATATTTGTTTATTTGTTCTCAATATAAAATAAACTTTCAACTGAGTCCTACGAATCTTATATATTTATTAAAAACAATCTGCTTTAAATCGACAGTTAGCACAAATTAGTTTATGGTGAAGTTATATATGGTAAAATACATTAAAATTAACTTTATGTAATAATAAAATTGATTAAACCTACCGGTTCGAATTAATGTTAACATTTTTTCATAACTAACAATTTAAAACAAATTTCCTTACGGAATGTAGCGTAATAAATTATGATTTTTTACTTTTTGATGCCCTACAAATAGGTATAAATACACATAAAACTAAATATATTGTGATTGTAATATTTCAAGTTATCACTAATATTTTATAATATATGAATCATAGCTTTTATTTAAATAGCAATGTTATAAAATCGAGCATATTTAATATGAGCAGTATATAATTTATACGAGCAGTAATAAAAAGTGAATTTCGTACAGTCGATCTTTATTAATACATCAATCATTCATTAATTAAGATATCAAATTCAAACAAAGCTTTATGATTGATTATGATTGATTGATACAGGAAATTTAAATTTAATTTTCAACCCCAACGATGCCAGCAATACGTTGCTGAAAATATTTGCAATTCACTACCACTGATGATTGGTATGAAAAACGGTATTTTTTAATTATGTGGTCTTATTTAAATCGCAGATTTTGTTTACAATTTTCCTATAATTTATACTCACTTTTAAGTATACATATGTAACATAATCTTACATGTGTAATTATATTTTGTTTGTGGTTTATATTGTAAGCGTAAGTTTGCACATCATTTACATCCAGCATATTGTCTTGAAAATTTATATTATTTTGATCGGCAATAAATCTATGCAAAAAAAAGCTGCATATATCTCATATTTATTACATATACATGGATTCCTAAGTTACAAAATTCCCATTTTCTTATTTTTTAAGATACATATGTTTTTAAGATACATCATCATTTATAACATAAATTATATTTCCGCATATTTTTCCAAATCTATTATTGAAAGACTAATTTAACTACGTTCGATATCTAAAATACACACATTACCAAAAATATTGCCAATTATGTCATAGTTTGGCTTTTCTTTTAGTATATTCTATCAGAAACCCGGAATTATGAAACCTAGAAATTTTCCTAGAAAATATGTCTAGTACAGTGAAAATCATCACTGAGTTTTTTATGAACATATTTATAAAAGCAAAAGATTCTTTTAAAAATATAATATAATACCAAGATAAAAATGGTTCCGTGACATACGCGAATTATTTATATATTTAGATGTGCCTATATAAAAGTAAATTGTATTAAAATTACAGCAATGCATGATAAATCGTGCATTCATAAACCAAGGTCAAAATCGCGTTACTACATAATTATCTAATTTTTTTTATCAATTTTATTATTTGTTAAAATTATACTCATTTTGAAAATTTAATTTTAATGCATTGTGTCTCTCTCTTCAACTCCATAAACATTTTTTATTTCCTTAAAATAGCAATCAAGATACAATGAAATCTTATAACCTATTGTTACATGAGAAAAGAGAAAAAAAAAATAGAATCAAAATAATAATTTAGAATTCACTCTATGGAAAGAAGTCAAGTATTTCATTTTAACTCTATAAACTTAGAAATTTTTTTCAGTTTTATAAAAGGATCTATATTTGTATTCTATAAAACTGAACTCTTTTATACTAGAGCGGTTTAACAAAACTTATAGAATTAAGTAAAATATTTTATATTGATATCTCTGTTTGTTTAGTAAGTTCATATTGACATCTTTATAAATATTAGGTTTTAGAAACTTCAGAAAATACCCCAAAGGGCTTTGTGCACAATACGATTAGCATTGTACCGATTTCCACTTAAATCAAATAAATAAACTACAAATACTATAAATTTCGTAATATCAGTGATTTATTTATTAGAAATAAAGTATTTATTTCCCGAGATAAATGCGATTTCAAGATTGCGATTGAATATAAAACCCAAACTAAACTAGTTGGTATTGGTATTTTGCCTTGGGGCAAGTTACATAAACTTCTATATATATATATATATATATATATATATATGTAAATAATCGACTTAATCAATAAAATATAAATTAATTAATTAGTTATTGATGCTATTTCGAGTGGATTTATCAAACATCATTGAAAACGAACGAGTAGCGTAATGTTCGGATTTTTGAGTTACAATTTCAAACTACTATAGCAAATATAGTAGCATGTAGGTATGACTATATTTTACCTACTTGTTTCAAACGTAAATTGTCTTTGTTTAAATAAATTAAAATAAAATAAATTAGTCTAACAATCTGCATTACATTTATTCCAGGAATGATCGTTAACGGTTTCGTAAACGTGGTAATAACGACAATAGAGCGCCGTTTTGGTCTACGATCGAAACAAACCGGACTGGTGGCTGGTGGTTACGATATGGCGTCTTTCCTTTGCCTGGTACCAGTCACTTACCTAGGAGGTCGCGCCATGGCTTCAAAGCCGCGATGGCTGGGCCTGGGTGTTCTACTGCTCGGAGCAGGCGCCCTGTGCTTTTCGTTGCCACACTTTTTGGTTGGACCAGCAAGGGCTGAAGGGAAAACGGTGCCGCTATGCAATAACTTTACTCAAGAAATCAATTTAGGACTTATGCAGGATACGGTAAGCGATATAAGTTATACAGTGGCCGCCTTACGAGCTTAAGGGGGTATTCTACTGTAGAATTTTGAAAAAATCGAAAAAAAATTTCTTTCATATTTTCAAAGTTTAGTTATTCAAAAATATGTCATTAAAAGGATTTTTCGATTTAAGGAAAATTACTATTATTTCCTGAGTTATATCCGTTTTAGTGACGTGGCCTCGGTTCGGGTCCGACCGAGTCTCAAAACTTTGAACGCGCTTTTCTCGGAACTACTTTTTTGGAGCTGGCGGTAAAGATATCTCGAGTTCTAATTAACCGATTTACTTCAAATTTGGAGAGGATCTTCTCTATACATCGCTTTATCGCATGGACCTTTCCCAAAACTATAACTTTTCATTTAGTATTTTTAAAAAATTCGGAATTGTTAAAAAAAACATAAAAAAATTTTTTTTTTTCAAACTGCCGCCATTCAAACAAAACTTTTTTTTAACTTATCCAAGGTTCATACGATAGCGGCATCTATAATAATTAAGAATCCATCTATTTTTTATGTTTCGGATCACCAGGAGGGTTGGAATCATGCACGCCAGGACACCCTCCTTTTTTTTTGAGCCCTCACTTTGACTGCTCATAACTTTGGGAATTCTAATTTTTTTTCTTTAATAATTTTTTTATGTAATAATAAAATATCAATAAACAAATCATAAAAAAATCGATAGTAAAAATATTATTTGTTTCCTTTATACAGCGCTTCAAAAACCGGGCAAAATTCATGCTTCTACAGTAGAATACCCCCTTAATTCATTCCGTAACCACGCTCGCATGACGATTTGCTCGTATCTTAAAGCAATTTTTTCCATACCATATAAGTACATTGAAATGCCATTAATTGGTTCCAGCACAGTGTTTTTTTGTTTGATAATAAAAATAAATAAAACTTTATTGCTAAGACCAAATTCATATTCTGCTTAAACAGCATATTACCATATAAAAAAAACTAAATCATCATTATACTAGTTTTTACGTTTCAAAAACTGACGATTTTTTTTATTTACATTTATAAATTACATTTATCTGTACAATTATGTTTACAATTATCTGTCGTTATAAACAACATTCAGTAATTTTAATGGTTTATTACAAAAGAATAAAAGGTCGAATGGTCACCCAGTGGTTTCGAGGTTGGATATGTTTAGCTTATAGATATGTAGTCTTGATATGAAAAAATTTAAATAAAGCCTACGAGTAATTGTACATATTATAGGATTACTAATGAATATCAAAAAGGTGCCGTTTTCTTGCCACGATTGCCGTTCAATGAAAAGGTGAAAAGGTTGCCGTTCAATGCCACGATTAAAAACTGTCGAATGAGAATTATTTTTCCTTCAACTTATTATAGTATTGCGAGTAATGAGTTATACATGTTTCATCAAATAGTTCTGATGCTCGACCAACTGCATCTTTTTCGGGATCATTTTTATCCATAAAATTTCAACTTTGTCCCACATTGCATGAACCAATGCAAAACATTAATATTATTGAATTGGAACTTTTAACTTAAAAATAATTTACTATAAACATTTGTATAATAGTTTAATGCGACTTCACATACGACAATAATCCTTGTTACAATTGATATTGGATGAACCTCGTCTCTCAATCGCCAGAATCTCGAATTTTGCTTTTATGACAAAGCAACGAATCACTTCTTCGCGAGATTTTTTAAGTTACATTTATATTTATATTTATAATGTGATTTTTTATAAGTTAAATTTTTATATCAATATCTTTATAATTATAAGATGATATTAATATAAAAATTAAATTGATTAACAAAATGATAAAAACTCAACAATAAATCTTTAAGCCTTCTTAAATCGAGTATAAGAATTATATATTTGCGAGAAAATGTATGTTATACATATAGTAACTGAGAATATTTGAATTTAGTTTTTTTTTTGATTATTTGATCCCAAAACAAATTTCTACTATCATTCAAATAAGTGTTTATTCTTAGACGACATATTGAAATTATTATTTTTTTTTTAGAAAAACATTTAACCCTTTCGACTCGGATGCCGCCGCTCCGGCGGCATAGTCATTTTACCGTTGCGCTCGGATGCCGCCGCTCCGGCGGCATGATGTTTTACCGTTAAGCTCGGATGCCGCCACTCCGGCGGCAAATCGTGTCGGCGACGACTCGTCGCAAACTAAACTTACATTTAATTTTTTTTTATTTTTTAAAAATTAATTTACTATTACATTCATTTATTGATTGATTTATCAATTTTATAAATAAATATATAACAAAATTAATTTATTAGCTCATGATCCCCATAATTCTAATAAAGATCTGTGAAGAAATGGTTTTTTAAACAATATAGCATGGTTTTGAGTGCAATTTTTTTTAATTCTCAAAATTTTCTATTTTATTATCATAATAACTATATTTAAAAGCAATATAACCACATTTTGAAAAAATCCGATACAAAAAAAAAATTCCGAGTTGAGAGATAAGTATAGCACTATAATATTCCGAGCGCAGCGTACCGACTGGCAGTCCGACTCCCGAGTCGAAAGTGTTAAACTACATTCAAATTTATACGCAAAAAATATAATATTTATAATTTGTTATTTAAAAATCAATCTCAAAAGCTCATTCTACCTCCTAAGGTTTTTCAATTTTTAGATACCGGTTTTAAATCTAGTTTCCAGGAGAAAATTATGATATTCGAAAACCGGTTCTTACTAGAATACCGGTTTTCAATGTATGAATAAAAGTATACAAAATTTGAAATAACAAATGTAGCCAAATGTACTAGATTGATGAAAACACTGTTGCAAATCGATACCGCGTTTCTTGTTTCAAAATTTTTGAAATATTTACACTCGAGTATAAAAATCAGGCGCAAACAACGGATAATTAATTGTTTATTTAAAAGTTATCCAATCCTAGTCAAATATTGCTTTTTGTTCGACGACTAAATTGCATAAAAAAATTAATCAATAAAATTAAATAGTAAATCATTTCAGTCAACAACTACTTTTAATAACTCAAAATTTTTGTAAAAAAATTTTGTTTGAATTATTCGAGCAACAAGTTTTATATGAAAAACCGGAACCAATTAAAATCAGCCTATTGGAGAAAATACTGTTCGGAAAACGGTTTTCAAAAATAGTTTTATATGAAAATTTGAAACCGGTTAAAATCTTGCGGAAAAAAAATCGTTTTTTGTAAACTATAAATTAGACTAATGACCTACGTAAATGGTATTTGTTCAGCTTTATTGAAATTATCTAATTGACGTTTTATTTGCAGAATTGTCAGGCATTGACGTTTCAAGACAATCAACAAGTACCTATAGTTGCAGAAGAGGCAAATGTTTGGTGGCTATTCTTCGTAGCACAGCTTTTACATGGGGCTGGTAGTGCTCCTCTTTTTACGCTGGGAGTCACTTTCATAGATGAAAATGTTTCCAAAAAAATGTCAAGCGTTTACCTAGGTCAGTGAACTTAATTTTCATTTTAAAATTGAAAATATTTTATTTTTAAATATCATTTGTTTTTTCGACATATCTTAAAAACATGTGTGTGAGCATGTAGTATCTACACGCTTTTGATGAAACTTATCTAGAAGATGAAAACCACTTCTCTATATTAACTTAAAATTCAATAAATTTAAAAAATTCACTAACCTGAATAATAAATAATTAATAGTGCACTATTACTTATTACATCAATAAATGTATTTTTAGACTGTAAACAGAATTTAGTCAAGTTTTATTATAATAACAAAACATTAGATGATTTTAATCAAACGTATGGACAGTTCATCACAATATTAATTTCGATTGAGTGCAATGGAAAATACCTGCGCTTTCCGGATGATTTGTTTTTATTACAAATGTTTATCCACCGTGAAATGTCACCCTTCAAAACAGCGTTACCTTTCCAAAACCTCTGCGGGCTAACAGAGCCCCTCTAATACTCAAGAGCAGTAGCATCCAAGTTACTTAAGACGAAATTCGTAAAAAAAATTACTAATATTACTACTATCAATATCCTTTCATTTTATTCCAATTTAAATTTTAGTAGGTGTATGATTAGCGTAAAACAATTAATTTGCCTCATTACAATACTAACCGAACAAAGATATGCATTTTTGTATTTTTTTAATTTTGTAAGATTGCAAAATTATATATATATATATATATATATATATATAAAATTAAATTTTTACATAAGCAGAAACCTCTACATTAACAATTAGCGATCGAATGTTCTTGCGAATCGTGGACTGATTGAAACTCTTATGTAATGATCTAACTCGTTTTTTTTGACATATCTAAACGTATAAATAAAATTGCAGTATCTGCTGTAATATTTGAATATACGTTTTCATTTGATACATATGAACCTTATATATAATATACAAAATTAACATTTTTTTTATTTTTTGTTGGTCTGTTCTTTAAAACGGCTAAACCGATTTCTACGGGATTTTTATTGGCCGATGGCTGATATAATTGGACGTAAATTGGGTTATTTTTATTTTAAAAAAGTCGTTCGCATAAAATTTAACAAAAAGTTATTTAGTTTGATTGTTTAGTTTTTTATTTTTTTATCATATCTCATAGTAGAAATTTTATATATTTTCTTATACTGATATATTAATTATTAGAATTGCTATTTAGCTTTCGATTTTTAATATTTGTTTTAAAAATAGCTGAAACCTACAATTATGTACTAAATATTTTTAATTGTTCATATACAGGTTATCTCATGACTCAACGTCAAGACAAAACTGGGTGACACCATTAATTGTAACTATCAAGAAAAAATTTAAAAAAATATCCCATTTAGTTTGAAAATTATGAGGTTTTATGTACAACCATGAGTTTTTGTCAAAATGTGACCATTTCTCGGTTATTGGGGTTATTCTTTTTTTTTTGTTTTATTTTTTACTCGTTTTTTTTAGTATGAAAGTAATAAGTATTGCACCATTTTGCAATCGTGAATAAATTTGCGAGCTTTCGCAAGAAACTAATACATTTTTTTAAAACACAGCGTAAAGCCAGTATTAATAGCACTAAAAAAAATTCTCATGCACTTTGAAAGTTAAGAGCTTTTACGTACAACCGAAAGCTGTAGTTAAAATGTGACCATTTTTTGATTATTGGTTGTTGTTATTATGATTCAATAATATTATAATATTGATATATTGATATTATAATAAATATATATATATATATATATAAATTCATTAATTAATTAGTGAAATTTTCTAAAAAGTGGTCTTAATTCTAGAAAACTTGGGCAATTTCATTATTTTTTACTGTGGTTCTAAAAATGCTATTTAGGATAACGGGTATAAAGTTTAAATGAGCAAAAATAATACAAATTTACTCCAATAATCAAAAAATGGTCACATGTTAACTGCAGCTCTCGATTGACTTAAAGCTCTTAACTTTCAAAGTGCATGAGATTTTTTTCATGATAGTTTCTACCAATACCGGCTATACGTTGTGTTTTGAGACACCCTGTATGTAATAATGTTTAAAAGACAACTAAATCAAATATTTTCAAATAACAATATTTTCAAATTATACTTAAAATGTCAGTATTATTTGAAAATATTACATGTAACATAATATTGAATGAATCCAGCTTATTTAATAATTTGTATTATCGCAAGTGGTGAATCTTCTCTAATTATCCGAGTTGTATTCCACTGCACGGATATCCACATGAGGCCCGCACGGCCCATCACCCTCGGCGCGCGTTTGCTAAAAGCAAAACCAGATCAGCAAATTGCGCCAAGGTCTCCCATGCAATCGCGCCCTTGTGCACAAATATACGCACATCGGTCTCTCCTACCTTTTCGCTAGTGTTAATATGAAAATATTTTAAAAAACTACCCCCCGGGGACGTATAAATCCTGCTTAATATCACGTGGGAGGTGAAAATAAGGTGTTGCTCTTTGCGTCAGTCGACTGAACGAATGAAAAGTTGCCTTAGGCGGTATTAAACGGCTGTTTATTTAATGTTTGGGATGAGGAAAATGACTATTGGTGGATGTCATTGTGCCTTGAGGCAAGTAGCTGGAAGTATTCGATTATTAAAATCAATAAACAGATTGAAGCTTGAAATAAATCCTAAACTAATCACGCATTTTGAATTTGAAAGGTTTAAAAGTCCTTTTTTTAAAAAATTTTACTAAGCATTATATAAAGTAACCATATTTTTTAAAATTAAATTTTGGTAAAATCGGGGCGCCAATTCGTAGTTATGCTTATCATTTTTCTCAAATTTTTTAATCAGAATTATTCGTTTTTACTTAGAACTTTGTTTTTTTTTTGTTTCTAAGCCTTGTATAAAATTTTGTAAATAATTAATTTATTGGTGAAAAATTAACACTTGTGCCCGGCAGCCAAAAAGTTCGTTTTCACAAATTTTGCTAATATTTGCTAAATTGAAAATGATAGTTCGAAATTACTAATGTCAGAAGCCTATTTATTTAACCCGCCTTTGAAACTTTGCATTCGGAAATTTTCTCATTCTTTCATATAAGCATTACGTATTTTCATATATTTGATGGTTTGTTGTAATTTAATCACTAGTTGTAATATCAATACTATACTTTTCGATACCCCGGGACTATCCAGGCCAAAAAATCTAAATTTGGGACAAATATTGATTTAAGAAACATCGGGAACACAAGATGAAATTCCGGGACTGTTCTGGCCAGACCGGGACGTATGCTCACCTTAGTAATATGAATCTTACAAATATTTTTGGAATTTTTATTTTTAATATCTTATTTGATATATCAAATACTAATTTTTGGATTAAAAAACAACTGCTTATTTTCAATGACCATTATTACATTTATAACAAAAAGCTTCTGATCGTATATAATACGATCGTTAGGTATAATAATCATTTAAAATTATTTTCTAAAATAGATGTATTTAACTGAAGTAATTTCAATATCAATAAAATACTGATTATGGAATAAGAAAAGAAATGTAACATATGTTCTACTAGGAGAACTGTTAACATGGTTCGGGTTCTCTCTTGCAGCCTTGCACCTAGGAGAAGTGACTAACCTTTCATTTGATTCAATTTGAGAGTATTTTTTATTCACATTTTTTTATCATATTTTTAGTGACAAGATGTTTATACATTTTGAAAAATTTTCTATTTATGTGTCATTTACAGGAATTTACTATACGATGTCGATTATTGGACCAGCCGTGGGATATGTTCTTGGAGGGCAATTCTTGCAGATTTATGCTGATACTTTAACGATTGATCCATCCACGTAAGTTATATATTTTTATTCAAACATATACATATATATATATATATATATATATATATATATATATATATATTAGGGTGGTCCTTAATATGGTCCTTAATAACTTTTACAGAGTCCGCAATTCCATGAAACTGATTCAACTTGATTGAATTGCGCTCTATCTAAAAGACAACATTAAGAACTAAATCTTTCAGAGAATGTTTTTTTATCAATTTGGAACCATTTGAGCTCTTTGGAGCATGGAAATTCGAAAATGTCCATATTAAGGACCACCCTAATATATATGTATGTATGTTGCGCGTGCCACTAAAAAACTGATCCTCCCTACTTTTCGCAAGACAACACCTCGAAAATATTTTAGGCAAGCGGTAATTTTAAATTTAGTCATGATGAAATGGACAATGCCACAACATATGTGAAAATATTAGTAGCTATGCGTAATAAATTCGTTTTGTTGGCTGAGTTTCGTTCGCGCCTTATAAAATATACATTGTGCATTTTCCATTACAGCCAATTTCCGGCCAGGGATATATGCAAGCGAATGCATTTGATAATGTCGACTCCCGCATCCGAATTATTCTGATGATATGTGTTATTCGTGACTAAATGCTCTATAGAAAATTTCAATGGGCACCGCGCACTATAACAATGGGAACATGTGCATGTGACAGTTTGGTTAACATCGCGCTCAACCTCAATGTCGCAATGACGAGATGAGTGCGATTCGTTTCATTACATATTTTTATTATTTAGAAATTTGATTATTTTCACGTCTAAATTATTTTCTACCTTTTCTCTGATCAATAGCTAAAACCAAAATTATTCATAACACCGATAAACTAATGGTTGCTGTAATAGTGCAATGCAAACTTCACATAAAACGATTCGAAACATCAAGCCGAAGAAGAACGTAGGTTCGAAGATTAGATTTTTATTATATTTCTAACAGCAATATTATTATTTAACAGCAATTAGAATATAACGAATCCTTTTAGATGTTATGCTGACTTCTTTCAATGTCGTGGATTGAAAGATGCTTTCCCATATTCTTGTCTTCTCCTATGTGATGAATTTATTATTACAATTTCTGTAATACTGATGATTTTTTTCAATGAAGCAACAATGTCGGCTAAGGGCTATTTTTACTCGGAAACATATTGTTATCTATATTTTCAAGTAAAAACTGATATCACTACTGCATGGCTTAAAGCTTTTAGAAAAATGTTTTTAAACCACTGATCCTCGGAGAACGCGACGTAGTATATTTATAATATTTTGTATATTTTTTTGGAAATTATTTATTAACTTCCCGTAGGGTAAGTTATAGTAATCGCAAAACAAATCTAGAATGAAAATTTCTGCATATCTTTACGTTTCAAAGCTCTATGAACATTTTGGCATAGCTTGTTAAAAAAAATTGATGGTGAAACCTCTAGAACCTCTAGTTTAAAGTTCATGGAAATTCTTTTTATTAGTTATTATTTTCTCACTATTCTAAATACATGAAATGATATGTATTTATGAGGTTAAATGTCATACTTTTCACTTAATTTTGTTAAAACATGAATGCAACAATTTTGAACTTTTTCTAATAGTTAAACTCATAGGAGTTTTAATTAAAGCCTAATGTTTCTCAGCAAGTGAACAAAAAATGTAATATACATATTAAAAACTTGTCATGTAAAGTTTATTTTTTCAAAATATTCAAAAAATTGTTTTTTTCCCGTAATCTAGGTGCAGAAATTTTAAGAAAATACTAATGTTTGTCATTATATAGTAGAAATTAGAAATGTATTACTAAATTAAAAAACGGTGCATTAAAATTATACAATTACAAGGTATTTTAATAATTTATTCAAAGGTAAATTAACGAAAATATCAATTACCTCTATCATTTTCATGGGACATCAATTTTCTCTATTTTTGCCTAATGAAGCGTGTCAGTTTTTTACAGAATTATAAAAAGTATTTGAAATGGTATAAAATACAATATTTATTTCAGACTTTAAAATACAATCAAAATTTCCTTTGACAATAATAAGATTATGTTCAAAGAGAAAATATTTTTTCATATTAGTATACTTTTTATAATAAACCTTTTCTGAATAGTGTTTGTTATTTGTAAGATTTCTAGACCCTTTTTACAAATATGTGAGCGTACACCATTATATGCATATGTTGACAAAATTTCTTTATCTATTTTTTAAGCTTGAAAGAAAAAAGGCTTAGGTAATATATATTCATGGGGATTCAAAATACAAATATCTTGCGGTATAAAATAACTATTTTTTATGTAAAATATAATGTTATTGTACTTCCCTAAATAAACTTTACATAGTTTTATTAATGCATACGCTCTTATGTTCTTACAGAATTTATTTCTTTTTTATTCATAACGAAAAGCTCTATATTAAATTGCTTACCTTCGTAATTCTTTCTTTTGTCTATGTCAACAACTAGACTTTCCGAACTGTTTGATTTTCAATTTAAGAATAGTTAATTTGATTTACTAAAATTATGAATTAAAAATACTCATTGTAAAATTTGAAATTAGTAAAGTATAATCGGCCGCGTACAATTTGCGAAATACCAACAAATATCATTGGAAAGTGTTTAGGAAAAATAGGGATCCAGATAAAATAAAAAAAACAACAAAATTATGACTGGAGGAATTAGAAATGATTCATATAAAAATAAGATCCATATAAAGAAGATGTAAATGAAAAAAAAACTTGGGCCTACATTCGAATAAAATTGTTATTACCATTGATATATAGTCCATTATACAACATTACAAATCATCACCTAATAAATATATTTTTTATGTATTTTGTAATATTTAAAAAAATTCTTTACTAAAAAGCTTTTCCGTGGATTGGCAGTTAGAGATATGGGGTTCCAATCAGTCAACCCAGGTTCGATACACGCCATGGGCTGCCTGGTGTCAAGCAGCAATGACATCAGTTTTCACTTAGCAATCACGCAACATTGCTGCATCTTCAAAAATTTATTACTATTACAGAAATTGTGATAATAAAATTCATCACAAGGGAAACAGTTTTGTTTGCCATCTATACAACTGACGTAGTTGGTTAAGTCTAACCATCACAACAGCTTATAGGGCTCTTAAGTTCTGATCGCTGGTCAAATATTAGAAAAAAAGATTCATTATTTCAAAAGTTTTGAAAACCACTAGTGTGTATACCCTTATATTTATATGTATTTATTCAGCAACGTATTCAAATCTCAGAGAATATAAAATTCATCGGCGTGTGTGCTCCGACGGTACCGACTGTTCGGCTCATATCATATTATTATGCGAGATCACGAAAAATGCAATCAAAACCCCAGCTTTAGTGTTCTCATATATAAAACGTCTTAACAAAAGAAGACTGTGTCGCTGTAACGTTGAATTAAAATTTTATTCAAATCGAACATCATGTAATAATACTTGGTTTAATGTATCATCAGTATGAGATAGACCAGGCATCGGCAACCTACGGCACGCGTGCCAGGCTTGGCACGCGATGGGGTTTTGAATGGCACTCTATAAAGTAATGAGGAAAATCGGAAATATCGAGTGATTTTTAAATAAGAGAAAATGTTTAATTATAATTAATTTTCTAACGTAGCTCGCTTTGAAGCTTATGTGCCTATTTTTCCTTCCTCATAAAACCAGATTTAATAGATCCATCAATAATACCGTTTGATTTGTTGACTTTCGAATGGATTAATGTTGATAATTTTGAAATGGAAATTATCGAACTAATATTTTCAGAATTATGGAAAACAAAATGGAAGGAATTACAAAAAAAAAAAACTGAAAGATGACTCTATGGAAAAATCGACAGCCATATTATATTGTTAAATTGTATGCGCTCTCTTTCAGCTTTTGGTTCCACATATCTCTGTGAACAAACTTTTTCTCACATGAAACATATTTTGAGTTCACAAAGAAATCGTTTAACAACTAAACATTCAGAATCTTGTGTGAAATTAAAAGTTACAAATTATACCCCGGATCTTGAAATGTTAAGGAAAAGGCACAAGGTTCGCATTAAAGTTGTTTAGTTTATATTCAGTGGCGGATTAAGCTTTCTGCCGCCCTAGGCCCTATCTGATCAGGCGCCCTTTTTAATAGACAATTTTTTACTTTTTTAATTAAACTATAATTTTATTCTAAATTACTTAAATACAACTTTTAACTTTCCGTAAAGTACTCGTAAATTATAGCAATCGCAAAAGATCGAAAATATTTTTTTTTGCATATTTTTACGTTTCAGACATTTTTGAACATTTTGGCATACCTTAAAAAAATTGATGTGTGTGTATGTATGTATGTTTCATTCTCATAGATAAGAAAGTTCTGATTAGTTTTTGGCTAAGACGGGTTTAGCCGTTTGGAAAATACAGAACAAAGTGCAAGAAATCAAACAATTCATTTTAAAGCCAGAGCGATTGGTTCCGAATAATTCAAAAAAAATTACTTGTACTGAAGGAATGAATAATTACCTAAATTTTTGGGAAGCAGGTTTAACGGTCGACCAATCTTTTTTTTTGTAATTAGTAAAAGAGAGAAAAAATTCGTCAAAGTTTTAGCCCACAATTTTAGGTCGATTTTAAAAATTCAAAAACCATTCGAAAAATCTTGGTTGGAAATCGTATTCATTAATTTTTGGCAAAAACCTGCCGGACAGATTAGGTTTGCGGGACGATCGGACGAGCCGGTTGTTTGAAATTAGCTTAAAAAAGCAAAAATATTACGTTTTTGGAATAAAGCCAGAAACCCATTTTTAAAATTGAAAAAAGATTTCTGAAAGATATCAATTAGGAGTCAAAATATTTGACTATTTTAGAAATTCATCAAAGTTTGATGAAACTTCGTAATCAAAATTTGTGTTAAAAGGCCCTTTTGTGATGTGATAATTCAAAATTTAATTTTCAAAAACGCCTGAACTGATTTCACAAATTAAAAAGACATTGGACTAAACTCGATAAAT